TGGTTCCCCTGGGGCTCAGGGTGGAGTGAGGGCATTACCATCACCTGTGGTGACCTCATTGACAGCTGGTATTATGACGTCGCTGGCCCAGCATTCCGGGTTCCTGCCTGGGCATCTCCAAGCCCCCCAGGTGAAGACACTCCCCTGGGGTCTGTGACAACTTGCCCCCCATCCACATAAAGGTGACAGGCACGGTAACAACCCGGTGGGGGGGCAGTCTTGGGACAGATGGGTCACCGTGTCCTGGGCTTCTTTGTCAGTTGCATAGGTAGAGCAAAGGTGGTCACACAGCAGAGTGACTCATACTTGGGCTCTGGGTTCAAATTCTAACCAGTCATTTGACCTTGGCCTGACAGTTTTATCTTCTTTGAGCCTCAATTTCCTCGCCTGTGAAACCGCTTAATAGTTCTCTTTTTTCCTTTCTTCTTAATATATTTATTTATTTATTGGTTTGACAGAGTGAGAGAGCAGAAGTAGGCAGAGCAGCAGGCAGAGGGAGAGGGAGCCCCAATTCGGGGCTCGATCCTAGGACCCTGGGATCATGACCTGAGCTGAAGGCAGAGGCTTAACCCACTGAGCCACCCAGGCGCCCTTGCTTAATAGTTTCTATTTCCCAGGTTTCCATGTAAAGCTTAGGAGCACAGGGCAGGAGGATACAGTCAGTGCTCACTAAATGCTTACTGATAGGTTTACTTAGTTAATGGAACTCTGAGGTCACTTGGTGCTGGGAGCTGGTTGGAGAGGGGTGGCTCTGTGTCTTCTGCGGCTGGCTTGAACCTGGGAGGCAGGGGGATGGTCCCAGTGTCAGGAGAGTGGCTCCAGCTTTGCCTACCTGTCTTCTCATCTTAGCCAGGGAGCTAGCGCCCATAGGAGGTTGGGGCCCGAGGCCAGGCCCTGAGGCCAAGAACCCATTGACCCTCAGCCTCCTCCCTATCAGTCTCTGCTTTGCAGCCTTGGGCCAGAGTGGGCTGGGGTCCACCTGGCCCCTGCCTTCCTCTCAGAGCCATGGGCATGTCCAACTGCTTTCTCTTGGTCCCCAGGCCCCTGAGTCTAGGATTCTCCTCGGCGCTATTTCCATGTCTGTCAGACCCTCAAGTCTCCAAGCTGGGCTAGGAGCCTTGGATCTCTCTGAGCCCAGTCCCTCTGTTTTCTGCTTCCGTGAGGCTCTGTTCTCTAACCTTGACCCTTTGCCCTGTCCTCTCCAAGTCCCTCTTTCTCTGACCCGCCCCTCAAGTTCTCTGTCTCATGATCCTCTATCTGCACCACCTGTCTCTGTTCTTCTGCCGTCGTGTCCCCCTCTGCCCCCCAGCTCTCAGGACTGGTTCCCCCTTCAACCCCCCTCCCTCTGCTCTGTCCCCGCCCGTCAGCCCCTGGTCCCAGCTCCCGGCCGGCCCGGCTCCTGCATGGACAAAGGGGTCCTTTGTGGGCTGACCGCGGCTGGCAGGGCGGCGGGGCGCTGGCTCCGCATTGCTGATGAAACGGAGCCCTTTGTTGTCCCTCCTCAGGCGCAGTATTTCTTTTTGGGGGCTGGATGCGTTCCTGGCAGGGCCGATGATGGATGCGCCCGCCGCCGCCCGCCTGCCCGCCAGCTTTCCCTCCCGCTCATTCCCGCTCCGCTTCAACGCAACCCCAGCTCCTCCCCTGCTGCCTGGGCACTGCCAGGCCCTTCCTGGTTTGGGAGGGGGCTGCTGTGTGCCTTGCAGTAGAGGGCTGGCGCCTGGGAGAAAGAAGGTCTTATGTCCTTCCCTACCTTGAGTAGGGCAAACAAACCCTGTGGTCACTGGTCCACTGGGACCAGATCATCAGCTTTTCCCAGGGTCTAAAGGAGAAAGATGAGCCAGATATAGGGGCAAATTTGGAACAAGCTTAGAGACCGGGCCTTGGGACTAAATAGATGTTGGTATCTGCCCCACTCTGGGGTTTGAAGACAGAAGTTCACCTGGGTGCCAGTCCCCCTTGTTTACTCCCCACCTTCTGCAGCTGGGAAACCAGCGTCTGCCTGCAACACCTGTTTGATGACATATCACGTCCTCTGCTCCATAGCTCAGTAGGTCCCAGGACCCTGAGGGGCTGGGAGAGGGAAGTTCCTGAGGAAGGACAGAAAAAGAAAAAGAAAAGAAAAGAAACGATCGGAGAGATTCAAAGAAGGGCCAGAGCTAAACAGAATATGAGGTTTGGTCCCTACTACAAGACTCAGGATGGAGACAAAAGCAGATAGACTGAGCCAGAGCTCCGGCCCTGAACGCAGTCCCCACAGTCCCCGTGTTGGAGGGAGCTGACTTCTAATTGACCTGCCCGCCCTGCACACCCAGCCAGATCCCGGAGCCGGGAGGGGGGAGGGAGGAGAGCAAGAGCGGCGTTAATGCAGCTATCGATTTCTGCCACCAGCCAGCAGGCCACAGAGGCGGGGACACAGAGGGGGGCTAGGGCGCAAGCTGCTCCCCTCCCCGCCCCTCTCCCACCTCTCCAACCCAAGGGCTCCTGCCTTCTCCTGTCTTTGCTCACCGGGTCTGGGCCTGCGGGCACCCTGTGCTCCAGGACAGAGTATTTGAGCTCAGATGGGGTGACGGTTGTTGGCCTTAGTCTCCGACACCTAGCCAGGATCACTGCTGTCTAGAAGGGTGCTGATTTCTGAAGGAGGGTCTCAAGAGCCACCCTGGGCTTAGGCATTAGCAGGTGAGACGGAGCATAGCTATCTTACATGAGCCTCTTCCTCTTAGTACAACACTGACCTCTGTAGTACCCCCAGCCCAGCCTGACACCCTGCCAGGTCCTCCTGGGTTTGACCTGGGAATATGCCAGCTGGTCCACCCTTCCTTACCACCCATCTACCTTCACTAGGAAGGGGTGTACATGGGGCCATTGCCCTCTAGGGAAAGGCAGGGAGCATCTGGCTCTCTGCTGAAGCCTGCCATCTTTGTCTCACTCAGATGGAGCTTTTCCTTCTCCTACACTTGCTTCTCCTTGTGGCCACTCCTTAGCAATCCCAGAGCAGGGAGCCCTGACGGCTCAGGGCCTCAGTTTCCTCCTCTGGAAGTGCAGAAGGTTGGACTACATGACCTCCCAGGGACCAGGCCCTGGCTGAGTCCTGTGACTTGGGGGATGGTGGGGTTGCCTGGGGACAAAGATGTATGTGTGCCGCCCCCAAGGCTAGGGCGGGACAGGCCCAGCCAGATGTGCACCTCCCCCTTGAGCCACCAGCTGCTCAATCTGGGCCCTCTTCTCCAGTCTTCTCCCCCTCCCCCCCAGGGTTGCTGGGCCACAGCAGGCAGGCAGGCAGGGAAGGGACCTTAGAGAGCCAGGACTGATGAGGAATCTGCCACTCCACTCCTTCTGGACAGTTCCTTCCAGAGTTCTTGGCCAAGGAGCCTGGCCAAGGAGCCCTTAATCCTGGGGCTTGAGCAGAGCATGCTTGTCCTAGGAAGGGGCACCTCAGAAATGTGGTTGTGGCCAAAGAATAGACTCTGTTCCCTGGAGGGTAACACCCACTCTCATTCCCAGCCTGCACCAGCCAGAGGCCCCTCCTGCCCACAGCCTGCCCCTGGGCTCTCACTGGGACCTCATCCCAGACCCATCTGGGAGCCAGGCTGAAGCACAGCAGGGAAGCCTGAGTAGAGACAAGAGTGGGGTCTGAGGTAGTGATGACTGTTTTTGAGAGTGAGGAGGAAGCGTGTGTCAATATGTGCACAGCATGTCCCCCTACTCTTACAGGAGATGGCTTATCCTGTGGCACAGTGCTGCCTGCCCTCTATCAGGAGGATACATGCTCCTTGAAATAAGGATTCTGTGCTCTATTTGGCAACCTCTTAAAGTCAGTTTCCTTTCCTTGCAGGACTTGTCAGAGCCTTGAGATAATCCATATGTATTTAGGAATTGACAAATGAGAGCCTGAGAGCAGCTTCCCAGACTACTTTTTTTTTTTTAAGATTTATTTATTTACTTTAGAGAGCGAGCACGCATAGTAGGAGCACAAGCAGGCGGAGGGGCAAAGGGAGAGACTCTCAAGCAGCCTCTCTGCTGAGCGCAGAGCCCGGCAGGGCTGTATCCCAGGATCCTGAGAGCGTGACCTAAGCCGAAATCAAGAGTCAGACCCCGCCCCCACCGCCCCCAACTGAGCCACCCAGGCATTGATTTCTGGTCTACACCTTCAAACTTTGCAGAGGCTGTACCAAATCCTTTTGTAGATGGGTCAGAGAAGGAAGATTAGGAAGCGGAAGGTGACTCTGTAACCTTCTGAGGTTAACAGACATTTCCAGTTCTTTCCTACCCCTCCAGCCCAGGAAGAACTGGCCAGAGATCTGAGCTGTACAGATCCGAGCTGAGCCTCTGCCATGACACTTGGTAACTGTATATTCATGGCCAGTTCTAACCCTTGTGTAAAATAGCCACTACTACGAAATGTGCTTGTGAGTCTTTTTTTTAAGATTTCATTTGACAGAGAGAGATCACAAGTAGGCAGAGAGGCAGGCAGAGAGAGAGGAGGAAGCAAGCTCCCCACTGAGCAGAGAGCCCGATGCGGGGCTCAATCCCAGGACCCTGAGATCATGACCTGAGCCGAAGGCAGAGGCTTTAACCCACTGAGCCACCCAGGCGCCCCGTGCTTGTGAGTCTTAACTGAAATAGTACAGAGAGGGGCATCTGGGTGGCTCAGTCAGTTAAGCGTTTGACTGGAGTTTAGCTCAGGTCATGATCTCAGGGTTGTGGGATCGAGCCCCACATGGGGCCCCGTGCTCAGCTCGTCCCTCTCCCTGTGCTCCTCTCTCCGCTCATGCTCGCTCGCTTTCTCTCTGTCTCCTTCTGTCTCTCTAAATAAAATCTTGGGGGAAAAAAAAAAACCAGTACATGTAAAAAATACCTAACCATGTTGGGTCCAGCGCGTGATAAATGCCCAGCAGGGCTTGCATCTGTTAAAATGGCAATATTGTGGCTAGTCCTGGTGGGGATGTGGGGGAAGGAGATGCTTACCTCCACCCTGACCCTGTGCCCTCTTGTCCTGACAGAGTGAAGACCCTCCACGTGGACAGCTGACCATGTGCCTGCCCTGAGCAGCAGGGCCCACCAGGCATCTCAGTTGTGGGCAGCCGGGCCGGCCCCCGACCGCGGCCCCCCCCCCCCCCCGCAGTTGGCAGCCCCCCGCCCCCAGCAGTGGGCTCTGGGCCTCGGCCCCACCATGTCGAGCCTTGGCAGTAGCCCCCAGGACAGTGGTGGCAGCAGCAGCAGCAACACCGGTGGCAGCAGCGGCCCCAAGGCAGGAGGGGCCGACAAGAGCACAGCGGTGGCCGCAGCCGCACCAGCCTCAGTGGCCGCGGAGGACGCGCCGCCCCCCGAGCGTCGGAACAAGAGCGGCATCATCAGCGAACCCCTCAACAAGAGCCTGCGCCGCTCCCGCCCTCTCTCCCACTACTCCTCCTTTGGGGGCAGTGGTGGCAGCGGCGGCAGCATGATGGGCAGCGAGGCCGCTGAGAAGGCTGCCGCCGCTGCCGCGGCCGCCTCCCTGTTGGCCAATGGGCACGACCTGGCGGCGGCCATGGCCGTGGACAAAAGCAACCCTACCTCAAAGCACAAAAGTGGTGCTGTGGCCAGCCTGCTGAGCAAGGCAGAACGGGCCACGGAGCTGGCAGCCGAGGGACAGCTGACGCTGCAGCAGTTCGCGCAGTCCACGGAGATGCTGAAGCGCGTGGTGCAGGAGCACCTTCCGCTGATGAGCGAGGCGGGTGCGGGCCTGCCCGACATGGAGGCTGTGGCAGGTGCTGAGGCCCTCAACGGCCAGTCCGACTTCCCCTACCTGGGCGCCTTCCCCATCAACCCGGGCCTCTTCATCATGACCCCGGCCGGCGTGTTCCTGGCCGAGAGCGCGCTGCACATGGCCGGCCTGGCCGAGTACCCCATGCAGGGAGAGCTGGCCTCCGCCATCAGCTCGGGCAAGAAGAAGCGGAAACGCTGCGGCATGTGCGCGCCCTGCCGGCGACGCATCAACTGCGAGCAGTGCAGCAGTTGTAGGAACCGAAAGACTGGCCATCAGATTTGCAAATTCAGAAAATGTGAGGAACTCAAAAAGAAGCCTTCCGCTGCTCTGGAGGTAACGACGCCTTAGAGGGAGGTGTGTGGGCTCCTGTGTCTGGCCGGCAGTCTGAACCCAGCCCCGCCCCACCCCCGGCCCTACTTTTCCTGCCTGGGCCAGTGTCTGGGGGCCGCTCAGCCAGTCGACCCCTGGGCCCAGGGGTTCTGGAACAGGCTCCCAGACACCAGTTCACCACCCAGAAAGTCAGAGCCACATCTTGAGATCTCAGTAGGTCGTAGTTCACAAGGCAGGCAGCAGGTTCCAGGTGGGGGCCTGGCCTTTGCAGCCAGGCCTGGGGATTCTGAACCCCTTCCTGGAGTTTTGGGCCAGCCATTGAGGTTTCCTTATAGGTCCAAGTATCTGACTCTCAGATGTGTCCTAAAGCTTTCAGTCCGTGCCCTGAGATTCTGGGGCTCTCCCTTGTCCCACTTGAAGGGTTCTGTCCTGTGGACCATGTGGCTTTTAAGGGTAAGCCCTTCACTCACCCCTTCAGAGCCCAGCCTTTCCCCTAAGGCCACCCTGGTGCTCATTGGCCTGAGGCCAGGAAGAACCCTGTGTCTAGGTATGTCATTGACAGAAATCGGGTTTTGGGGGGGCCTCAAGGTCAGTCTGGCTGCGTAGGTAAAACGGCCAGGGGTCCTGTGGGCCTAGGGTGAGGGGGTGGCTGTGATCCTGGGGTATGGGCCAGGCCTGTCCACTTTGGCATGATTGGCTTTGTGGGGAAATCACCACATAGCCACACGGTCAAGGCCAAGGCAGCCCAAACAGGAAGGGGCTTAGAACAGGCAGAAGGGTTCCCATGCTGCTTTCTCTCCACCCTCATGGCAGAGCTTGTCCCTGTGCCCCCAGCCGTGGCAGTCTAGTGGTGGTGCCAGGCCTGGGTACAAAAGCATCTTTTCAGCCTGCTGTCCCAGCCCCGGCCCCGCCCCTCTATGAGTGGGCCGGACGCAAATGTTCAGAATGGTTGGAAAATAATAATGACATCCCAGCTGTGGCTGCTACCCACCCGCAGGCCCCAGACCTCATATATCTGCTCTTCTGCCCAGAGAACACACCTATATGCACACAAAGGCACCCGCTGACATCTCATGTGGACACACACACACAGACACACCCCTCCCCGCCCAGTCCAGTCTTAGCTATAGATGTAGCCTCTTACTTAACACAGCCAATATCCTTCCTCACCACCCCGGCTGCACACACTACTACCCACTGTAGCACAGCTCAAGGCGCACATCCATACAGGCCTCCAGTGCGCACGCTCCCTGCTAATTCAACAGAACCACGCACACAGCCCCCTGATGCACCATAGCCACCTGGCGCTCGTGGCCTTTGGACCAGGGGATTGGGTTTTCCTGTTTGGAAGCAGGGTTCCTGGACACAGTGGCTCAGGTGGCCTCAGGGTGCTCCGGGCCCTCCAGCAGCCCCGCGGGCCAAGCCTTCTTCTCTGGCCCGGTCAGGATGGCAGGACCTCCATGGGGTGGCTGCCTTTTACTCCAGGCCCGTCCCTCCGCCATGAGGCCGTCCACGGGGGAGCGTCTTTGCACCAGGTCCCGCCGGACCCTGACTGAACTCTCTCCTTGTTTTTGTCTCCCGCCCCCGCCAGAAGGTGATGCTTCCGACGGGAGCTGCCTTCCGGTGGTTTCAGTGACGGCGGCGGGAACCCAAAGCTGCCCTCTCCGTGCAATGTCACTGCTCGTGTGGTCTCCGGCAAGGGATTCGGGCGAAGACAAATGGATGCACCCGTCTTTAGAACCAAAAATATTCTCTCACAGATTTCATTCCTGTTTTTATATATATATTTTTTGTTGTCGTTTTAACATCTCCACGTCCCTAGTATAAAAAGAAAAAGGAAAAAAAAAATTTTAACTGCTTTTTCGGAAGAACAACAACAACAACAACAAAAAAGAGGTAGAGACGAACCTATAAAGTACCAAGACTTCCTGGGCAAAGAATGGACAATCAGTTTCCTTCCTGTGTCGATGTCGATGTTGTCTGTGCAGGAGATGCGGTTTTTGTGTAGAGAATGTAAATTTTCTGTAACCTTTTGAAATCTAGTTACTAATAAGCACTACTGTAATTTAGCACAGTTTAACTCCACCCTCATTTAAACTTCCTTTGATTCTTTCCGACCATGAAATAGTGCATAGTTTGCCTGGAGAATCCACTCACGTTTATAAAGAGAATGTCGATGGCGCCGTACCGAAGTCCCTCTGTATCCATCCACGCGTGCAGAGCTGCAGCCAGGAGCTCGTTGCGGGGGGGGGGGGGGGAGGTGCGGGGGTGGGGGCAGCCCACCCACTCCCAGGCTGCCTACGCTGTACTCCCGGTCCCCAGAAGGGATCCCCACCCCGACGATGATTTTGCGGAAATGAAAATTCAGTTCCTTTCTCCGTTGAGATCTGGGGAGCCCATGTCTCGATATTTCTGATCCTGGCTACTGCCCTTAGAGAAAATAAGTCCTTTTTTTCTGGTCTTGCTGATGGCCACAGAAGAAAGGGCTTCTTCGCGTGGCCCCCTGCCGGTGGGTGTGGGTGCCCCGGGGGGCCCCCTGCTGCCTGGGCCCCCTTGCCCACGGCCAGCTTCCTGCTGATGAACATGCTGTTTGTATTGTTTTAGGAAACCAGGCTGTTTTGTGAATAAAACAAATGCATGTTTGTGTCACGAAGCACCACCGCTGGCTTCTTGCTCTCCGGTTTGGGGGGCTGGCTTGGGGGCTGTTGCTGGGCAGGGGTGATGTGGAGCCACCTGGGAAAGGAAGAAGGATGGCCCCGGGACATGGAGAGTCTGGGATCTCTTGGGGAGTTCGGGCCTGGCAGATCCTGAAAGGGGGTCAAGCAGGAACAGCCAGCCCAGCTGGCATGGTAGAAGTGCTGTTAATCTGGAAATGGCTGGTTCTGGAACATTCTCGCCTGCCTGATTATACCCCCTACCTCAGAACCCAGACCTCCAGGGACCTTCACTTACCTGGGGCCACCTCCTCTATTTACCTAAGTCAGCAGGGCCTGGCCAGTACGGAGCAGCCAGCAGGACCAGAGCTGCCTGTTCGATCGCTTGCTTGCTTTCTTGCAGGGATCTGTTACTCCCCCAACCACTGAGGTGATCCCCAGGGAACAGTTTTAACCCCGATTTGTGGGGGCCTGACTGTGCCCAGAATGCACACAGAAACACCCCTACCCTGCCATACCCCTCTTTGGGCCTGAGGGCGGCTGGACTGAAGCTGGGGCAGTGTGGGGGGGTATCCTTGGCTCCAGTTCTTGAGCGACTTTCCCCACCCCCAGAAAGTTTGTTGGCGCAAGGTCGTCTGCGACCTCGGGGGCCAGATGTCTGGGGAAATCACCACAGAGCCACATGGTCTAGGTCAAGGCAGCCTGAACAGGAAGGGGTGACAGCTGCGTGGCCCCCACCCCTGCACATCACAGAGGCCGGTCTGCAGGCTGAGACCCATCATCTACTTGACGGGCAGACATTCTTCCCACCCAGCTGCCCCGGAGCCTGGCTGAGATGGAAGCTAGACGGGAAGAAGGACTTCCTGACAATGGTAGGGGCCTTCCTTCAGGTGGGTGAGGGCTTTTTGGGGTTAGGGAAGGGGCAGCTTGTGAAGGGGAGTGGGCAGTGGTCTGGGGAAGATGGTCTGCCTCTGCTGTTGTTCTCTGGAGGAGAAAAAGCAGCCCATATGGGGTGGGGGCTCCGACCCCCACCCCCTTCCCAGTGTCACAAGCTCCCTTGGAGCACCAGGAGCCCGGCAGCCTGGCCTGGCACAGTGGGGGCAGGCGGGGGTGGTGGGAGGCAGCTTTCAACTCCCGCTCTGCCTGGGAAAAATTCCCTTTCATGTGGCTGCCTGTGATCTCTCCAGGCGGTTCTGCCGAAGGGGGGCGTCCAGCAGGGAGTGGGGGGAGGCCTTGCTGCCAGGGGCACCCTCATCCTCCACCCCCCACCCCCGCACAAGGCAAACTGCAGCACCTCTAGGTCCTGCAATGGGCAGGGAGGGTCTTCCTGGGGGACGGCTGGGTGGGAAGCCTGGCCAGCAGGGGGCACCCAGGCAGGAGGCCCCTGCCTGCCCCCGCCCTGCTGCTGGCAGCACACAGGCTGCAGATGGCCTCGGCCAGCCCTCATTGGCATGCCTACAGGTGTGGGGTGGATGGCTCCAGTGCCAGCCCAGAGGGGGTTGCTGTGACTCAGCCAGCCTGGACCTTTTTAGTGTGCCAGCCCACAGCCCGGCCATGGCTCCTGGGCCTACCCCTCAGCACGCAAGCCTGAAGGTGGAAGCCCCTCACCACTTGCAATTTGGCCTCTGCTTGTGGAAGTGGGAGGCCATCCCCTCTGTGTGCAGGAGGGCCTAGCTGGGGTGGGGATGGCTGTGGGCTGAACACATGATGAGACCTTAGTCCCCTCATCTGAGAAATGGGGACAGTAATGGTCTCTCTTCCATAAAGTTGCCTGAGGATGAAATGAGATCACTCTAGAGAAGGGCCCGGCTCATCATAAGCAGTCAGTTAAATGGCAGCTGGTGTTGCTAATTTTAAAGCTATTCACCTGAATCTCACCAAGGTGCCCCCCACCCGCTACCCAGGGTACGGGTCCTCTCTAAAGCCCTGGCGCCTCACCTTCCACTCCCTGGGCTAGTGGCCGCCCCATCCCCCAGCGGGCTCCAGCCCTGGCCAGACCTGCTCCAGCACGTCTGTTTCTAACCACTTCTGGCTCACTGTCCCTGAATCTCTCTACTGATGGTCTCTGTTGGTCTCTGACGTTCTTCTGTGTCTCTGTCTTGTCATCCTCCCACGTCTCTGAGTCCCTGTACGTCTCTCCTGTCTCGAGTCTCTCCCTGTATCTAGTACCTCTCGTATCTTCTGTTGCCAGCTCACCCCTGCTGCTCTCCTGCTGACGGAGAAGTACTTAGAGGCAGGCTCCCTGTGGAGCTGTATGCCCAATTCCCCTCCCTAGGGGTGCCTTCCGCTCCCCTCTGCTGCCCTGCTGCTGGGAGCCTGACCTCCTGGTGACCTGAGAGCCTTCAGCCTGTTCTCTCCTTTCCCCCGCCCGGATGGCAGGGGTACTTGCGGGTACACACGGGGCTGGAGACAAACCCAGCATCCATCCATCCGTGTGTGTGTGTGTGTGTGTGTGTGTGTGTGTGTGTGTGTGTGTGTGTGAGAGAGAGAGAGAGAGAGAGAGAGAGCGAGACAACCGTGTGAGGCCTTGTGCAGCAGTGTGGCTGTGTGTGACACGACAGGCCTATGACTGTGTGGCAGGCTCTGGGAGACCTCACATGGCCATGGGTTAGGGTGTGATGTCAGTAGTGCCACACAATGGGATACTCTGTGACGTAGCGTGTTTAATCCTATGATACTGTGTAGTCTTATAACAGAGCCAGTGTGGTGTGTGTGACATGGGCCAACTCTGTGTGTGTGACATTGAATCTGTGACACTGATGTGCGGCATGCACGAGCCTGTGACAGACACTGGCTGAGTCTCTGTGGTTTGTGACATTGTGTCTGTGTAACCCTCATGGGTGTGGCCCTGAGACTGACACCAGGGATTCCATGGGAGGGTGTGATACTGGCTGTTGACCAAGCTGGGACCCTGTGACACCACTTGCATAACTCTGGGTGTGTGCTCATGACATGGCGTGTCACTGTGCACCTGTGATCCTCGCGGGGGGCTGACACTGTGCCATGTGGGGCTTGGTGTCCCCCAAGCGTTGCTTGGGTCTCTCCCCTGACAGCATGCAACTCTGAGGACTGTGGTGTCCCTAGCAGCCCCTCTTAGCTGCAGCCGGGCCCTGAGGCCCAGTCCGGGTGGGGGAGCTGGCTTGGGGGCAGCAGGCGCGGTTCCCACGACTGCCACGGCCCCTCTCCCAGCCCTACCACCAGCTCCAGCTCCACAGAATATCCTGGCAACCCCAGCCTCTTTGTTCTCTGTGGCCGCCAAAGGCCTCTCCCCACCCCAGCCTGCCCAGCGCCTGCCAGGCGCCCCCTCCCCTCCAAAACAGTGGGGCTTGGCCTGACCTAGTCTCTTGGTGCCCTTACACCCCCACTGGCGCTGGGGCCCCCATCTCAGGCCCTGACCTGACCAGCATCCAGCTGGGCCTTGGACCCTTTGCTGGGAGCTCGCTGCTGTCCTGCTGTCCAGGAGGGAGGCGGCGGCCCAGCCCTGCAGTGGACTAGGTTCGGGCCTGGAACTGTGTTCTCTGCACGGATACTTCCTTCTGGTCCAAGGCTAGTTGGAAACTGTCTTTAGTCTGGAATGGTTTCAGGTTGTTAAGTAAGTTCACTTATTTGGCTTCAGAAAAATCAGGATAGGGATTATTACTACCTATTTTATAGGTGTCCAACTGAAGCCCAGAGAGAGTATGTGACATGCCCAAGTCACAGAGCAAGATGGTAGCATGGGTCTGATTAGCACTTGTGCTTCTGGCCTTCACTCCTTGCACCAGGCTGCTTTGGGAGGACCATGTGTTTTCATGGAAGGGAAAGGGGACCTGGGAGTCTGAACACGTGGGTCCTCTTCCCTTGGTCACCATGTGTCAGTGTGTACGTGCGTGCATGCACGTATCTGTGTGCACTCTCGATGGGTGACCTTGGCCAACAACCCTTGCCTGTTTCTAGGAAAGAAGGGCAACGTGACCAGGGATATGGGCGTGGGGCGGAGCATTTGGCAGGGTGCTTTCCAGAGCAACAAGTCCACATCACAGTGCTGAGACCCACAGCATCTCCCAACAGCGACGTGGGGCTGTTGGCTCAGGGGCAGATTCCGCCTCGGGGCCTTAGCCTTGATTCCCAGGCTCGACTTAGCTCTCCACAGTCAAAAAGGAGGTGGTGATGGCCACTTGGCATGGCTGCCGTCAAGGCTGCTTAGGCCTGACCTGATTGCAGCAGCAGCTCCCACTCCCTCCCAGGTACCGGAGTGTATGGATGGAGGTCATTGTGTAGCCCGCCCGGGGCCCCTCCACTGCCCACCCGGGGCTCTATGCTGACAGGCAATGCTGACAACAGCCAACGTGAGGGAGGGGCAGGCAGCCACCAGCATGTTAATAACATAGACCTTGGCCCAGGCACTCTGCAGGCAAGTAGTGGGCACAGAGAGGCCCAGCTGCCCCCCAAGGTCACACAGCCCTGCAGGTCATCCTTTCCCCAGAGGTCCACATCTTCCCTGAGGACTGGAGAATGGCTGGGGGGGGGGGGTGGCGGGGCTGCAGGAGGGTCCCCCTGAGGCCCTGACTGGCTGCCAGAGCGGACACTTTCATCTCTCTTCGCCTGTCGACCTGCCATCCCTCGGCGGCATTAAATTCCCCTCCTGCCAGAGAACAAGGGCTGCCTCAGATTCCAGGCAGCAGGGCGTGAAGATGGGGCGGGCCCGGGGGAGCAGAGCAGAGGTCCTCCAGGGCTCCAGGCCTGGGTGCAGAGTATGCGGGGCAGGGGGAAGGGGGCGCTGGATCTGGCGCCTCTGGCTCCGCAGGCCAGCTACCCCAGCCTCCTTACACCTGATGATGGGTCAGAAGCTGGTGCATTTCCTGCTGCCTTCTCCCTCCTGACTGATGCCTTCCTCTTCAGGAGCTCCCTCCTCCGGGGCCCTTTTAACCCCAGCAGGCCACACTGCGTCCCTGGGCCATCCCAGTCACTGTACTGATCACTCTGGGTGGCCTCACCTGGCTTCAGGGTTCGGCCTGCAG